GACTTTTGCAAGTGACCATATGTCCTTGAAATCCTAATCCAACAACAAAATACGAGTTGAAGGTAGCATTTGTAGGTAAAACCATCATGAAACCATTCAGAAACCATCATGATGTTATTTGTTCCATATAGCATTCCATCTTTCAGTGCCAAACAAATTGAAACTTATCACCAACTGGTAGTAAAAGCACACACACTCCTCAATGTCACGGCAGAGGAGTGTAAGATTAACTTCAAGTTTATCTGACAAATCACTAAATCAAGAACTAGACTGGAGCAGCAACAGAAGAAGAAAAATCACAAACTAAACAAACCCCATAGAATTAGATAATAAAAATTTTACCTTTTATAGTATTTTTTATTTAAAAGAAGAAGAATATGTCTCCTAGAATAGTGAAGAGTCTAAATAAGCTTTTACTAAACAATAAAAATATTTACCTACTTTAGTGTATGAGTGGCTGTATGTGTGTGTGTGGAGGGAGGGGGGGCGTTCTTTATTAGCAGGAACAGCTGGAAATCTTATAAAAATGCAATTAAAAGAACAAAACTTTATACCCTCCACCATATCTTCCGTCCAGCGAACCAGACTGGAATCTTTGCCGGGCCGATTCTGGCCCCCGGGTCCTATGTTTGACACATCCGAACTACAGCCTCTTTGCCGTGTTACTCACCAACATCATTCCCTGGACAGCTAAACAAGCACCAAAGGAAACGAAATAAAGCAAACAAGCGTTTCCTAGTTACATTTTTCACTAAGAAACACCGCACAGATTTATGAAAACATTAAACAGCATCATATTATTACAAACTAAAGGTAAATTAGGAGGAGGTTATCCCTCTTACTGACCTGTGATCAGCCGACGCGCCTCCATCCTTCTATGCTACGGCGCATGCGCCGGGAGGCAGTACTGTCATGGCCCAGGTCATGGAGGTATTGTGTTGGTATGTTGTTGTTTTCACGGCTTTTCCTTTTAAAATCATCAACGTTTCAGCAACAAAGTGACACTTACGGACGTGTCGAGTTACACGTGTAATACTGCCCAGCAGAAACCGCTCGAACAAAGCTAACAGTGCGGCCAGTCCGGAGATGTTGGGCTAACTAGCTAGCTAGTTGCAAAGCTTTTTTATTTTCTTTTTTTTTTTTTAAATCTGATAACGTTGACTTTAGTTTTAGCTTCTTTGTCAGTGTCATGCGCTTTAAGTTTATTTCAAGCCCGCTGCCTTTAATTCGCAGGGAGAGACATGTAGGAGCACCACTCAGATGTACACGGCTACTGCAGGACCTCAGTTGTTAAATTCAGGTAAGTTTGTGCCCTTTGTACTTAATGTGTGTGCACATTGTGTGCTTTCTGTTTATTACTAAACGCTTCCCTTCAGAAAAAAAGACGGTCGCGAGGTTGGTACAATAACCTTTTCACCCCCTCACCCTCCCAAAATCTGCTTACTTGTGTATGTTAGCTAGCTTTCTGGCTAAACGCTCAGGCTGCCTCTGATGTTGACTCTCCAGGATGAATGACATGAACCTCAGTCCTGTGGGCATGGACCAGCTCAGCGTGTCCTCTGTGAGTGCCAGCCACCTGGGTCTGCCCACCTCCCCCACGCACAATCCCATTCCCACTCCAGGTATGGAACACGCTGCCTCCTGCTCTTAATGCTGTAGCTGGGAACACATTAGACCGACCCCGGTGATCTGTGATGGTCCGCACATTTTGTCCTTTATAAACAAAACATACTCACTCCAGCTATTCTGCTTTTAATTCTGATTTCTGGAAGACCCAATATGGGGGAAAAGTCACAAAGCATATTGTAATAATTATTTCTTATTGTTAAACAAAGTTATAATTATAAGAAATTTAGTTTGTTTTCTAACTGATACTTGTAAAATACTGACTCGTCATCAGAAGTTACACTTGCACTTAGATTTTTGTTAATGAAGGTATCAAGCTTGAAAGCATCCTGACAATCCTCACATATTTACACATATTTACAGTATGGGTTGTGTAGAGGCCTGCTCAGACTCTTGGGGCATACATGACTGTGTCCAGATTTCTGTTGTCAGTGTTAACCCGGTTTCACGTACTAGTTAAACAGCTATTGACAGTTATTTTTCACTTTATAGCTGGTGTATAAAATGTGTTTGTTTGCAGATAGATCATATTTTTCGTTTGCATATTATTCTTTCTTGTCTCAAGCGTCAGTGTGTGTTTACCTGTTCTTTGGTTTGGGAGTTTAGGTATGCCAGTGGCCATCCCTAGTCTGGGTCCTTCCCTTGGTTCTCTCCCTTCAGCCTTGTCTCTGATGCTCCCCATGGGTCCACTGAGTGATAGAGGGGTGATGTGCGGCCTGCCTGAAAGGAATTACTCCTTGCCCCCTCCACCATACCCTCACCTGGAAAGCAGCTACTTCCGACACATACTGCCAGGTGGGTTAAGGTTTCTCAGAACACTCATCTAGAGGCGAGGGCAATGTTTAATTTAAGTTGTATATCCCACACGGTCTCTGTCTTTGGTCTACAGGTATCCTGTCCTACCTGGCAGACCGTCCTCCACCTCAGTATATTCATCCCAGCAGCCTTAACATGGATGGGACCCTGTCTGTGCCCAGCAACAATTCCTCAGGTCTGGATCCCTATA